ACCAAAATACCCTACTAATACTAGGACCAAAATACCCTACCCAAACCAACAGCCACCACTGCCTGTTCCAACAAGCACGAACACCACCTCCATTCACCACCACTTGATCCACCGCCACCTCTCCTCCAAAACCAAAACAACCACCACCTCCTCTCCTCCACAATGGAAAGAAACCGTCACCCTCTTCGACAACTACAGCGACAGCAAGATCGCTCCATCAGCCGGAAACACATAGACCCTTTTTGCTAAATCTAGATTGGTGCAATGGATTGGAGTCTCTTTATCGAATTGATTCTCTTCATGATCTTGCAAAGATCAGAGGTTGTCAGGTTCATGGATGCGATGGCAGAGGAAGGTTTGAGTTTAGATTTACCTATACACATATATATGTACACTCACGCAGTCAATTTCGATCTCGCGTTTCAACCCACAGAAAATTGAGAAGCACCAATTTCGTGTTTTATCTATAGTTATTCATCGATTTAGGTTTATATATTTGTGGGCTTTCTCTAATTGATGGGAAACTTCGATTTAGGGCCTAAGAGATCTGTAAACAGGAATTTGACTAATTGGGACTTGAAAAAGACGCTTGGAATGTAAGAACTAAGATTGGTTTCTTGTGTGATGTACTTGTTCTTTGATTTTGGATTTGTTAACTTAAACTATTTTTTTTCAACCCAGACATTCAGCTTTTTGTACCTGGGGTCCAATAAGTGAGCCGTTGCTTCGGCGACGGTGCATCGTCGCCGGTGCCTCCGCGTCGCCGTCGTGTCTGTCCATGATTCTCTTGATTTTATTTTCAATTCTTTTGCTGAGATTTGTTTATTACAAAAATAAATTGGCCTCCATTATGATCCATCGTATGGTGTAGAAAGAAATACAAGAAATAGGAGTAGTGATTTCATTAAGGCAGTAGAGATGATGGATATATATCCATATATATACATGGTGATGGTGATGGTGATGGTGATGGTAATGGTGGAGGACGTAGCAGAGGCGATAGTACTTGGCGATGGCGGGTGATGGTTGTAATATTGGTGGCAATGGTGGGTGATGGTTGTAATGGTGGCGATGACGGGTGATGGTGGTTGGTAGTGGTGGCGATGTGGCTGCTCACTTTTCCCCTCCACACACACACACACACACACACACATGCAATAGTATATATATATATATGGGCAAATTTGACTTTTCATGAGTTTTGATATTTTATAATAAAAATAAATTAAATATTGAAGGGTAATATCGTCTTTTTAATGTTTGAAGGGTTTGTTTAGATCAAAATTATCGCAGAGAATATTTTTATTAAAAAAATAAGTAAGTTATATATGTCTGTGAATATGCCGTTAATTTAAATGTATTTGAATGGAACATCGACTTAATTTTAAATTTATAAATTATATAATTGTAATATAAATAGCATGAGTGAGGCACACTCCAATTATTATTATTTTTTAAAAATAAATAAAAACTTTATAAATTCATTAATACATTACCAAATCTGATATTTGTATTTGTATTATACCAAAGCTAATACATTATTTCTTTCCTTTCCATTAACTATGTGGTGCCCACTGATGCCTTTTCTTTCCTTTCATTTTTGGTGCTTCTTGTACATTTAACGTGGATGGGTCCCAATTCAAATTATTATGTTTCTACTTTGTTGTCATTTTATGTGGATGGGAGCCAATGAAAAGGCCAAAATTAATGCTTTCATATAACATACACAGTGGCTGTTTATTAAAAAATTACTTGACGTGTTAATTTATTGGGCTATCAAAAATGTTTAATTTTTATATAAGTAAAGAGTTTATATTCTAACTAACATAATTAATCAATCAATCAAATTAATTAATTAATTAAATTAATTATATCAATTTGTTTAAAATTTAAATCTATTAAAAATCAACTTAAATTCATTTATTTTATTTATATATTATTTTTTTATTATAAAAAAATCACTTATTTTATGTTGAATTGGAGTCATGTTGAGGATCTTGTCTAACTTTATCATCTTAATAATAGTTCTTTCTTTTGTGGCATGGTTAGATTTCACAGCTCAAAAGCATAAATAATGCATTAAGCCTGTTTTCTTCCAATAGTCTCAATAGTGATGCATAAATAATGTATTAGGCCTATTAAAATTGTTAAGTTTGTGATTTTAATACTTGTTTCAACTTAAGGTGTGTTAGAATGATACATTCTAGTGTGAGATTTACTTTGTTTGATAGTATGTTGATTATCCAATAAAAAAAAAAAAAAATTGATTACTTTTATATATGCAGTTCAATTATCAAATCAAAAATTAACTGAGCTAAGGAGGTTCAAAGAATCAAAAGGTGGTGAAGGTGGCATTAACATTCTATTTAAAATCAAGATTCAAATGTAAATTTGAGTCGAACTTGTGTTTAAGAGTTTATTGTGAAAATAATTAGAATTATTTTCATCAAGAAGGTAAACTTAAAGGATTGAATCACACGAAAGAAAATAAAATTTAATTTAAACTCAAAACATGCAATAAGAGAAAAAAAAAAAAAAAATTAGAGAAAAAATTATCTTCACCATTAAAATGGCTCCAAACACATATCTTTTTTGTCATCAACCCAAAAATAATGGAGTTGAGTTTCTTTCTAAAATACTGACCTCCAGGTCACTCAACGAACTTGCATATAGAAACAGTATCATTACCAACTTACATTTTTGCATTACAACTTAGAATTTGTTTTATTTGCAGTCGAAATCAATGAAATTACAGATTCAATTACTTTATCAAATTTTTTGATTGATTGGATTATCTGATTATAACTTATAAGATTAGTAACCTTCATAAATTGCTTTTTATTTTATTTTTTATTTTTATTATGAATGAATTTTTATTGTGAGTAGATTGAAAATCCGACATAGTAATTATTAAGAGAGCAATTGTGAAGATACTCAATAGAAGTATTATGACCCAATGTTTTAATTTTTACATATATTGTTTTGGTTCAAATTATATATATATATATATATATATATTATTACTATTAAAGATTGTCCCACAAAAGAAATTTTTTTGGCTACGCCACTATATAACTTAATTTTTTACAACTATTTTTTAAAAAATGAATCAAAATGTCATTTAACACAGATTCTTTGTATACATGATTAGTTTCAAATTCTGACAATTTCAAGATTTACCCTTTGTTTTACTATATTTTCATAATCCGTTTGTTTCTTCAATTCTGCAATTCACACAGACATTGGAGCTTTTATATTTTACTAATATCACTAATTTAACCCATGTCCTCCATCAATTTTTTTGACAATTATATTTTGTGAATGAGTCTTGAAAAAATAATAATAATAATAAGACAACATAAAATAGATTGTGTGGATTAAACATTGGGAGGTATTATGACAACAACAGAGTACAGACCCTAATTGAGACGTTCCCCAGAGGTTTAGAGAGACTTTTGACCAATAGAATATTTTATTGTTGGGTGGTTTTTATAAGTTGAAAACAGCCTCAACAGCCCATCAGTTTCTCTAATGGTTTTTTCAATTTCTTGTACAGTGGTACTAAACAACTACCTTAATCAACCTTAGCATCTTTGCAGTGTTGTATTGTAGAGAATAAGATACCAAAGTTAACAATAATAAATAATTAAAACTACGTTGTCATTAAGAAAAGCTTGTTAGAGTGCTTATTTTATTTTTTTTTTTTAAAAACAAAACATAATAGTTAAAGTCATAAAACATATGGTTACTATGGTGATTCCTGAAATAGTTAAAGTCATATTTTTAAAGCGCCAAAATTGATACGAATGCTCTAAATTCTAAACTAGGATGGCAAACGAGCCGAGTCATTCGCGAACTATTTAGGTTCGGCTCATTAATTACATGGCTTGAGCTCGGTTTGCAAATAAATGAACCGAGCTCGAACTGAATTATGAGACTCGATTTATAAACGAGCCGAACTTGAACATTAATAAGCTCGACTCGTTTGTTCATAAATCGTTTACGAACGAAACTCGATAATATATTCACGAACATACTCGATTATATATATTTATATTATATATATATATATACACATACCACCAATTATAATACATATATATACACACACACAAGTATTGAACGTTTTTTAAAGCTGTCACCATGTCATTATAAACTTCCTGGTCTAAAAGTTAAAGTACTCAATTTTTCAAACCTGCTGCTAGCATGCCAGAATACCCATCACCCATGTGATCCACAGACCCTTTCTCTCATCAGCCCACACACATGTGAAACCCACTCCTCACTCTTCAATTGTCAGATCTGAGATATCATATTCATGATATATTTTCAATAGAATATTTTATTGTTGGGTGGTTTTTATAAGTTGAAAACAGCCTCAACAGCCCATCAGTTTCTCTAATGGTTTTTTCAATTTCTTGTACAGTGGTACTAAACAACTGCCTTAATCAACCTTAGCATCTTTGCAGTGTTGTATTGTAGAGAATAAGATACCAAAGTTAACAATAATAAATAATTAAAACTACGTTGTCATTAAGAAAAGCTTGTTGGAGTGCTTATTTATTTTTTTTTTTTAAAAAACAAAACATAATAGTTAAAGTCATAAAACATATGGTTACTATGGTGACTCCTGAAATAGTTAAAGTCATATTTTTAAAGAGCCAAAATTAATACGAATGCTCTAAATTCTAAACTAGGGTTGCAAACGAGCCGAGTCATTCGCGAACTATTTAGGTTCGGCTCATTAATTACATGGCTTGAGCTCGGTAAGTAAATAAATGAACCGAGCTCGAACTGAATTATGAGACTCGATTTATAAACGAGCCGAACTTGAACATTAATAAGCTCGACTCGTTTGTTCATAAATCGTTTATAAACAAAACTCGATAATACATTCACGAACATACTCGATTATATATATTTATATTATATATATATATACACATACCACCAATTATAATACATATATATACACACACACAAGTATTGAACATTTTTTAAAGCTGTCACCATGTCATTATAAACTTCCTGGTCTAAAAGTTAAAGTACTCAATTTTTCAAACCTGCTGCTAGCATGCCAGAATACCCATCACCCATGTGATCCACAGACCCTTTCTCTCATCAGCCCACACACATGTGAAACCCACTCCTCACTCTTCAATTGTCAGATCTGAGATATCATATTCATGATATATTTTACCATTTGACTGAAGAAATGGACTTCCCTCCGGCTCATATTTTAGGCTCTCAAGATGAGTTTATTTGCTTGATTGCTTCCCTATCCCTTCAGCAAAAATAGGTGGAAAGATCCGTTGCAGAACCATTGATTTGGTGTCTGAATCAGGCGGTCAAACAGGGGATCTTACTTTCTTAATTTACTTATTTTATTTATTATCCTGTGAAGTAATTGTGGTTAGTTAGGGTGTTGAGATTGAGCAATGGAGCTGGTGAGCCCAATCTTGGATGTTGCGTGCCGATTATGTGGTTGCATCGGAAATTCTACCAACAATATTTGTCATCTCCAAAAAAATCTCACCACTTTGAGAACGGAGATGGAAAAATTGAAAAGGCAAAGAGACGATATGAGGCAAGAAGTTGAAACTGCTGAGAGGCAACCAATGGGTCAACGAAGCAGCCGAGCTGATCTCTGGCTTCAAAGTGTGGAAGAACTGGAGAGGGAAGTGGACCAGATTCTCCAAAAGGGTGAGGAACAGATCCAGAGAAGATGTTTCAAAGTTTGCCCCAGAAATTGCTGGTCTACCAACAAAATCGGAAAGGAAGTTTGGGGAAAGTTACAAGCCGTGTCTCAAGCGATCAATGAAGGTACAAACATTCCTGTGGCAGTAACCTCGGCCCCGCCACATGCCCAAGAAATGCCCCTCAACAGGACTGTGGGCTTGGATTCGAAATTGAACGAGGTCTTGGGACTCCTTACAGACGATGGTGGCCCTGGAATCATCGGGATATACGGGATGGCAGGAGTTGGAAAAACAACCCTTCTCACGAAACTCAACAATGAGCTTACAAAGCAGGTCATCTCTGGAGGGTTTGATGAGGTGATTTGGGTTGTGGTGTCTAAAGATCAAAGTAGCGTCGAGAGCGTTCAAGATAAAATGGGGAAAAAGCTAGGATTTCCAGAAACATGGAGCCGTGATAATACCCAAGACGAGAAGAAAGGAGAAATCTTCAGGGTATTGCGAATGAAGAGATTTGTGCTACTTTTAGATGACATATGGAGTCCGATTGATCTTGTTGAAGTGGGAATTCCACTACTTCCAGCCGACAATCAACCTAAGTCTTCCAAGGTAGTGTTCACCACCAGATTCATGAATGTGTGCGGTGTTATGGAAGCCAAGAAGACGATTGAAGTGGAATGTTTGGCATGGCAGGCAGCCTGGGATCTGTTTAAAGATAAGGTGGGAGAAGAGACCCTCAATTCCCACCCCGCGATAGGGAAGCTGGCAGAAGATGTTTGCAAAGAATGCGCCAGATTGCCATTGGTGCTGATTACAATTGGACGAGCCATGGCTGCCAAAACAACTCCCCAAGAATGGAATTATGCATTAAATGTGCTGAAGAATTCTACATTCAAAATTTCAGGTATGGAAAATGAGGTGTTTCGCCGTTTAAAGTTCAGTTATGATAACTTGTGTGATGAAACAACTCGGATTTGCTTCCTATATTGTGCTCTCTATCCAGAAGATTGGGATATTAATGTTTCCGATCTCATAGAATTTTGGATAGGTGAGGGGTTTTTTGACAATGAATGTGATAACATTGATGAGGCTTGTGAACTGGGATATGAAATTATTGGTAGGTTGAAGCATGCATGTTTATTGTTGAAGAAAGAATATGTATATTGTGTGAACATGCATGACGTGATTCGGGACATGGCATTAAGTATAGTTAATTCGGAAAGTGGAAAGGAGATCAAATATTTTGTGCAAGGAAATCTTAATTTGACCACAGCACCTCCTATTTCTAAATGGGAGAAGGCTGAACGAGTATTTTTGTTGGAGAATTCAATTGAGGAATTAAGTGAAACTCCTAAATGTCCCAATCTCTTGACTTTAAATCTTGCTGAGAATCATTTGAGGACCATATCTGATACCTTCTTTCAGTTTATGCACGCTCTCAAAGTTTTAGACCTATCAGGGAATGACGATTTAACCAAGTTACCGGCAAGTTTTTTTGGGTTGCCTTCCTTGCAACATCTTAATCTCACGCGTACCGGCATAAGGCAGTTGCCAATTGAGTTTAAGTCATTGGTAACTTTGAAGTATTTATATCTGGGTGTTCGATGGGAAACTGATGATATAATAATCCCGCCGCAAGTTATATCAAGTCTATTGATTCTGCAAAGGTTGGAGTTCGGTTCTCGTAGTGTTTTGTTAGAAGGAATTGATGAAGGAAGCAACTTCAAATTGTTTCTAGATGAATTGGAAAGCTTGAATCACCTGCAATATTTAACTTTGACGGTGAAAACTGAAGTGGCACTCCATAATCTTTCAAGTTGGCGAAAATTAGGAAGTTGCATTGCTGGTCTAACTATTAAAGAATGCGAAGGCTCGAGTTCACTGCAATTGTCTTCTCTACAAAAGAACGCAAAGAGACTAGAATGGCTTACAATTGTAGATTGTAGTGATTTAGAGGAGTTGTCAATGAGGCAGGATCATATAATAATAGATGCAGCAAGCAGAAGCTTCCATAACCTTCGAAATGTCACGATCGATGCGTGCAGGGTTTTGAGGGATCTAACATGTCTAATTTGGGTTCCCAAACTTCAAAATTTGTATATTTATGGATGTGTTGCAATGGAACAAGTAATAAAAGATGCGGATTGCAGTGCTGATGATATTGGTGGGGAAGGAAGTTCGAATGTATTCAGGGAGCTACAAACATTGGGTCTGTGGAATCTACCAGAGTTAAAGAGCATCTGCAGTCATCCATTGCCCTTCCCCTCTCTCTTTAAAGTTGCAGTGGGTAACTGTCCGAAGCTGAACAAACTTCCATTTGACTCCAATAGCGGCAAAGGAACTCTACAATCAATTACATGTGAGAGAAATTTGTGGGATAAGTTAGAATGGGAGAATGAAGAAACTCAGTCTGTTTTCTCTCCTCTTTTCAAACCATGGTAATTTTGAGGAAGAGTTGTCGTATCTTACAGGTAAATATCTCCATTGTTAATTGCTGCTTATTTTTTTTTTACCCCTTTTCCCCATTGATCTGGTTTGTCTAATAATGTTAACAATAATAATAAAAATAGTATCTTCTGTTACTATATTACTAGACACTTGATATATATATATATATAATAATTTCTATATACATTTTTATAATTTTAATATTTATATAAAATATACTCCTACTTATTAAATCGTGGTTTCCTAATTCAATTAATCAACATAGTTTCCTTTTAGTTGCATTATATACAATAAACAAGGCTTTTCAACAACACACGTCCACAAGAATTAAACGGCACTTTTTTTTCAATTTCATCTTACACACTTATCTTTTATTTTATTGACAACCAAATAATAAAGAGAAATTACTCTACCTATATATATAGTCTACACTATCAAAGCCTGAATTTTTTTTATTTGTATTATTACTTATATTTTTTTGTTAAAATTTTTAAAATGCCTCCTCTTATTTTGTAAAAATTTAAAAAATACCTCCTCTCAATTAATAAAAATATCAAACTTCAAGTTCTTGACCCCATTGATTTTTTTGATCCAACCGATAATACTCTCACCCGCCATATTCATCATTCTCTCTCACATATTTTGATATTTTTACTTAATTTTTAAAAACACCCACTATATATATTCTTGCTTTTTAAATTTAAAAGAAAATAAAGTAAATCGACTTTCTTTTTTCTTCCGATCTCACATCCGTAGTAATAAAGAAAATATGAAAAGATTAAAGAATAAATTTTTAAATCATTGTTGGTAGATAATACTGGTTGGATTGAAATTTAGCTTTTCAGCCTAGGGGCATTAGGTTAGGGCATCATTCATTTATTTTTCCTTCAGGTATGGGAACTGCACGCGCAAGGAGACTGTTGCCTTTGGCGGACACATCATTGGAAGGGTTTTGCAGTTTCTTCAAGAAATTCAAAGCTCAGACCGTCAGATATATTTCTATTGTGGTGAAGATGCTTACAGGTGAATGAGAAGAGCTGTATTCGGATTCTATATATATATATATATATATGAGTATATATTTAGTTTATATTTGATCTTATTAGCCTTTGATTGACATGTTGCATGTGGATTTGGAGAGTGATTTGGTTGAATTTGATAATGTATGAATCTTCATTTAGAACTCGTAGTTATGTCAAATTGTCTGTACGTTAATGAGACCTTCTAAGTTTGCATAATTTATTTATTCTATTTTATTTGGGTATGATTATATTTATTTTTGATTTGCCCTTATTTTTTATCTTCTTATTAAATTTGATGTAACAGGTTTTGTCTAATTTAGGATTTTTAATTTTGTTCCTTTTTCTTTTCTTTTTAAATTCTTTATTCTATTCAATTTTGCTTTTGACGTTATTTTTTGAGGTTTCGATTTAATTTAACTTTATAACGTACATTGTTACCCTCGATTTGGGCTACCATTTCTGAATTTATCACTTTGAGAAAAATTGAACTTGGCATCATGGAAGGTGATATATATTTGTATTCTGATTTTGGCAGTAATCTTCTCTTATTAGATGAAATCTATTTTCTTTTCTTTTCTTTTCTTTCTAACATTTGTGAGAGGATACTTTTATTTTTAATTGTATCAATGGCCAATTTCCTGATATTTAATCAGTTACTAATGACAACTTTATTATCAATATACATAAAAGCTTGTCTAAGTAGTTTTTTAGCTCATGGTAAGAACTCTCTCTATATATAATTTTCGTTGGTATGTAATTAGCTTATTTATTTATTTCTTTTTCATGAATTAATGTCCTGTACTTAAAAAAAATAAAAATTAGAACAATAATAATGGCCTTTGTATTAATGAACAAATGTACTTTGGTGTTGACGGTGATGCCCTCAAAATTTTGGAATGATCTATTTAAATAGTAGATTTTATAATTAGTTGAAAATAAAATTATTAGGATATTTACTTATCAAAAAAATAAATATATTACTTCCTCACTAAAATTTATAGAAAAAAAACTAATTAATAAATCCTCTAAATAGTTGAATTTTAAAATATTAAGAATATTTATTTACCAATTAAAATATGAAAAGGATTCAATATGTGGGAAAAATAATCTTAATTAAGATAATTTTAGGCCTTAGTTTTGTCTCATCGTAAAAAAGAAAAAATCAAAAAGTCGGAATATAACTCATAACCTTCTCTTTTCATCTTGCCATTTTTTTACCAAATCGGAATTTTTCTCCAATTATATATGTCAAAATATATACTTTGTATGTGTGGATCAAGAGATACTTTCTCATTTTAATTAATGTATCTCTTTGGCTCCCTTTCTCAACCTTTGCTTTTATCTATTTCAGTGCAACATTTGCGTTGATCCAGTAGTATTTAAGATAAATTTTAATGAAATAAACTCTAATTACCAATTTACCATGCAAAGAAGTTATATTCTCAGTTGGATCATTCTTGTATCGTTGTTTTGCATTTGGCACTTGTTTTTCTTTTTACCAATTTACCATCCAAAGATTGGAAAACTCAATCTATAAACATTTGGTTTTGTTTTGCTTTGCTATTTGTAGACTATTTTATTGCATTTCTTAATTGAAATGATTATTTTTCATAATCTTATTTTCACTTATACATACTCCACTTGATTACCGAGAAGGATGACCCAAAAAAAAAAAAAAAAATTTAAAGAAAAAAAAAAAAATCACCGAGAAGGCATATGGTCATCAATTCAGTGTTAAATTCTTTATATAATACATAGAATATATTTACGTTTTTTATTCATAAAAAAAGGAAAAAAAAATTAACACTACATTACATGTAGGTAAAATTTATCTTATAAAAATTTTATACGCTTTAAGTTTTTTGATAATTTTGTGAAAAAAAATTTAATTAAGATTATAAATTAACTATTTTACTTTTCCTCTATGCTATTATTAAAAACGTACAAGAGGGTCATGATGTTTCAAATCATTTATAAATAAAATAATAAAATAATTTACCAATTTATATCTATATGGATCAAGGTGTTTCGAATTATTTACAAATAAAATAATAAAACAAGTTATCAATAAAGATTAAAATATCTAAAAACGAGTTACCAATTATTTGAGAGAAAAAAATGAGCGAGGATAGTGAGGACGAAGAAATTTTTTTTTCATACTAAATTCGCTTGCCACAGATTTTGGTGAAAAGAGGCTAGTAAAGAATTTTGCTGTTTTGATAAATGGAAAGAAAGGTAGTGGGTTTGAAATAGGGAGGGAGTGATTTATATAGTAAGTGGAAACAAAGGCAGTGGGTTAGAACTCATAGAGTATCTCCAACTTATTTTAAAATCTAAATTCATTAAAGATCAACTCAAACTCACTCATTTTATCTATTTATTTTTAAAATCATTTTATCTATTTATTTTTAAAAAAATTACTTATTTTATGTTGAGTTGGAGTCATGTTGACAATTTTGCCTAACCTTATCACCTTCACGCTCGTTCTTTCTTTTGTGCCAAAGTTAAATTTCACAGCTCCAAAGCATAAATAATGTATTAGGCCTGTTTTCTTCCAATAGTCTCAGTAGTGATGGAAGATATTAACTGTGTATACTTGAATATTGTTGATATATATTATTTAATACTTCCTCCATTAGTTTTCGAGGTGGACTTTTAATATGGGACAGAGGTAATATGTATTTAGTACGTTATGAGAGCTTGTATATATAAAATATATATATATATATATATATAATCTCTTATACTTTGTTAAAATAAAAGAAAAACAAATTTAGGGCAAATCTCGGCTCCATCTCTTTTATATATATATAATTTATATATACTGTCTCCTCTTATAACAGGTCATGATGGGCCAAAAGAAAAGACATAAAAAAAAGAAAAAAAAGAAAAAAAAAAGAGATTAAAGATTAGGGCAAATCATTTCAGCCTCCATTTCTAATCTCGTTCTCAAATCTGAACTTGCCCTCTCCTCCCCTCTCTCTCTCTCTCCCTGCCACTACAAGACCCATATTGTTCTCAACACTAAAAAATCAAAACCAATATCTTCCAGTTTCCAAGAATCAAAAGTTCAAAACCCATATCGGCATATCATTTCATATTGTTCAAAAAATCAAAACCCATATCTTTCAGTTTCCAACGCTGTTTCAGTTCAGGTTCGCCGTCCGCCGTTCGCAAGCTTCAGCTGCTGTCTTCTTCAAGCTTCTCCCCCCCCCCCCCCCCCCTCTCTCTGCAACTGCTAACTCTTGTGTATGGGTTTTGTGTTTTTTTTTTTTTTTTGGGCCTAAAACAACTAATCAATTTGGGCAATGTTGGTAATTACAAAATTTTGTTGCCCTTTCCTTCCTTTTCTTCCCAATTTTGGGAAAATAACAAAAATTAATCTGAACCTTTGTTGAATCCCTCCGTTTCTTTCTGTTTCCTTTCTTTTCTTTCTCATATTTCACCCCAAACACAAAATTCCATCACCCTCCGTTCCTTTCTTTTCTTTTCCTTCCATTACTTTCCTACCAAACACAAGAGTTACTAACATTGCCCAAATTGATTAGTTGGGGCCTAAAACAACTAATCAATTAGTGGATTCAATAATTGAGTTTTGTGCGGTGGGAATGGATTCGTCTTTTATCTTTTTGACGTCAGCCAACCTTATCACTTCCCAAACAAATGGTCGGAGTGGCCCACGTCATCCCTGCTGACGAAGAAAATGCCTTTTCTTTCCTTTCATTATTGGTGCTTATTGTCCATTTAACGTGGATGGGTCCCAACTCAAATTATTATGTTTCTACTTTATTGTCACTTTACGTGGATGGGACCCAATGAAAAGTCCAAAATTAATGCTTTCATATACCATGTAAATTTTATTGGACTATTAAAACATTTGTGATGATAAAATTATACTTAGATTTTTGTAAAGGTTTACGTTTGAATGATTTAATTTTTATATAAGTAAACAGTTCATATTCTAACATACACAATTAATCAATCAAATGAATTGTATCAATTTGTTTAAAATTTAAATCCATTACATATCAATTCAAATTAACTTATTTTATTTATTTAAAAAAATCACTTATTTTATGTTGAGTTGGAGTCATTTTGACGATCTTGTTTAATTTTATCACCTTGACGAGCGTCCTTTCTTTTGTGCCAGAGTTAAATTCCACAACTCAAAAGCATAGTTAATGTATTAGACCCGTTTTCTTCCAATAATCTTAGTAGTGGTGGAAGATATTAATAAGTTTTTATATGTTAAAATTGTTGGAGGCTCAAATAATCAAACAGTAGTGACGGCGACATTAACATCATAATTAAAATTAAGGATTAATTATAACAGCACTTTCTGAAATTTGACATAATGACAACTATATATAAGTTGGGTCACTTTTGAACGATGATATTTTAAGTTTGATAAAGTTAACAAAAACACATAGTGAATTGACATTATTATCGTTTGACACGTTCAATTACCAATTTATCCAACACAATTAATTTTTATTAACCAAAATACCCTACTAATACTAGGACCAAAATACCCTACCCAAACCAACAGCCACCACTGCCTGTTCCAACAAGCACGAACACCACCTCCATTCACCACCACTTGATCCACCGCCACCTCTCCTCCAAAACCAAAACAACCACCACCTCCTCTCCTCCACAATGGAAAGAAACCGTCACTTTTCCCCTCCACACACCCACACATGCAATAGTATATATATATATATATATATATATATATATATGGGGGTAAATTTTACTTTTCATGAGTTTTGATATTTTATAATAAAAATAAATTAAATATTAAAAGGTAATATCATCTTTTTAACGTTTGAAGGGTTTGTTTGGATCAAAATTATCGCAGAGAGTATTTTTATTAAAAAAATAACTAAGTTATATATGTCTGTAAATATGTCGTTAATTTAAATGTATTTGAATCCAACATCGACTTAATTTTAAATTTATAAATTATATAATTGTAATATAAATAGCATGAGGGAGGCACACTCCAATTATTATTATTTTTTAAAAATAAATAAAAACTTTATAAATTCATTAATACATTACCAAAGCTGATATTTGTATTTGTATTATACCAAAGCTAATACATTATTTCTTTCCTTTCCATTAACTCTGTGGTGCGCACTGATGAAGAAAATGCCTTTTCTTTCCTTTCATTTTTGGTGCTTCTTGTACATTTAACTTGGATGGGTCCCAATTCAAATTATTATGTTTCTACTTTGTTGTCATTTTATGTGGATGGGAGCCAATGAAAAGGCCAAAATTAATGCTTTCATATAACATATACAGTGGCTGTTTATTAAAAAATTACTTGACGTGTTAATTTATTGGGCTATCAAAAATGTTTCGATGATAAAATTATACTTTAATTTTTGTAAAAGTTTATGTTAAATTGACTTAATTTTTATACAAGTAAAGAGTTTATATTCTAACTAACATAATTAATCAATCAATCGAATTAATTAATTAATTAAATTAATTATATCAATTTGTTTAAAATTCAAATCTATTAAAAATCAACTTAAATTCACTTATTTTATTTATTTATTATTTTTTTTAAAAAAAAATTACTTATTTTATGTTGAGTTGGAGTCATGTTGACAATCTTGTCTAATTTTATCATCTTAATAATGGTTCTTTCTTTTGTGCCAAAGTTAAATTTCACAGCTCAAAAGCATAAATAATGTATTAAGCCTGTTTTCTTCCAATAGTCTCAGTAGTGATGCATAAATAATGTATTAGGCCTGTTAAAGTTGTTGAGTTTGTGATTTTAATATTTGTTTCAACCTAAATTGTGTTAGAATGATACATTCTAGTGTGGGATTTATTTTGCTTGATTGTATGTTGATTATCCAACAAAAAAAAAAAAAATTGATTACGTTTATATATGCAGTACAATTATCAAATCAAAAATTAACTGAGCTAAGGAGGCTCAAAGAATCAAAAGGTGGCGAAGGTGGCATTACCATTCTATTTTAAATCAAGATTCAAATGTAAATTTGAGTGGAACTTGTGTTTAAGAGTTTATTGTGAAAATAATTAGAATTATTTTCATCAACAAGGTAAACTTAAAGGATAGAATCACACCAAAGAAAATAAAATTTAATTTAAACTCAAAACATGCAATAAGAGAAAAAAAAATTTAGAGAAAAAATTATCACCACCATTAAAATGGGTCCAAACAAAGATATCTTTTTTGTCATCAACCCAAAAATAATGGAGCTGAGTTTCTTTCTAAAATACTGAGCTCCAACTCAGTCAACGAACTTGCATACAGAAACAGTATCATTACCAACTTACATTTTTGCATTACAACTTAATTCTCTACATCTTTTCTTTTCTTTTCTTCGATATCTTCTCTTCCCAGTCTCTCTCTCTAATATCCTGAAGTAATTGTGGTTAATTAGGGTGTTGAGATTGAGCAATGGAGCTGGTGAGCCCAATCTTGGATGTTGCGTGTCGATTATGTGGTTGCATCGGAAATTCTACCAACAATATTTGTCATCTCCAAAAAAATCTCACCACTTTGAGAACGGAGATGGAAAAATTGAAAAGTCAAAGAGTCGATATGAGGCACGAAGTTGAAACTGCTGAGAGGCAACCAATGGGTCAACGAAGCAGTCAAGTTGATCTCTGGCTTCACGGTGTGGAAGAACTGGAGAGGGAAGTGGACCAGATTCTCCAAAAGGGTGATGAGCAGATCCAGAGAAGATGTTTCAAAGTTTGCCCCAGAAATTGCTGGTCTACCAACAAAATCGGAAAGGAAGTTTGGGGAAAGTTACAAGCCGTGTCTCAAGCGATCAATGAAGGTACAAACATTCCTGTGGCAGTAACATCGGCCCCGCCACATGCCCAAGAAATGCCCCTCAACAGGACTGTGGGCTTGGATTCGAAATTGAACGAGGTCTTGGGACTCCTTACAGACGATGGTGGCCCTGGAATCATCGGGATATACGGGATGGCAGGAGTTGGAAAAACAACCCTTCTCACGAAACTCAACAATGAGCTTACAAAGCAGGTCATCTCTGGAGGGTTTGATGAGGTGATTTGGGTTGTGGTGTCTAAAGATCGAAGTAGCGTCGAGAGCGTTCAAGATAAAATGGGGAAAAAGCTAGGATTTCCAGAAACATGGAGCCGTGATAATACCCAAGACGAGAAGAAAGGAGAAATCTTCAGGGTATTGCGAATGAAGAGATTTGTGCTACTTTTAGATGACATATGGAGTCCGATTGATCTTGTTGAAGTGGGAATTCCACTACTTCCAGCCGACAATCAACCTAAGTCTTCCAAGGTAGTGTTCACCACCAGATTCATGAATGTGTGCGGTGTTATGGAAGCCAAGAAGACGATTGAAGTGGAATGTTTGGCATGGCAGGCAGCCTGGGATCTGTTTAAAGATAAGGTGGGAGAAGAGACCCTCAATTCCCACCCCGCGATAGGGAAGCTGGCAGAAGATGTTTGCAAAGAATGCGCCAGATTGCCATTGGTGCTGATTACAATTGGACGAGCCATGGCTGCCAAAACAACTCCCCAAGAATGGAATTATGCATTAAATGTGCTGAAGAATTCTACATTCAAAATTTCAGGTATGGAAAATGAGGTGTTTCGCCGTTTAAAGTTCAGTTATGATAACTTGTGTGATGAAACAACTCGGATTTGCTTCCTATATTGTGCTCTCTATCCAGAAGATTGGGATATTGGTGTTGAGGAACTCATAGAATTTTGGATAGGTGAGGGGTTTTTTGACGATGAATGTGATAACATTGATGAGGCTTGTGAACTGGGATATGAAATTATTGGTAGGTTGAAGCGTGCATGTTTATTGTTGAAGAGCAAAGAAGGTTATTCTGATGTGAACATGCATGACGTGATTCGGGACATGGCATTAAGTATAGTTAATTCGGAAAGTGGAAAGGAGATCAAATATTTTGTGCAAGGAAATCTTAATTTGACCACAGCACCTCCTATTTCTAAATGGGAGAAGGCTGAACGAGTATTTTTGTTGAAGAATTCAATTGAGGAATTAAGTGAAACTCCTACATGTCCCAATCTCTTGACTTTAAATCTTGCTAATAATTATAATATGAGGACCATATCTGATAGCTTCTTCCAGTTTATGCCCGCTCTCAAAGTTTTAGACCTATCAGGGAATCACTGTTTAACCAAGTTACCGGCAAGTTTTTTTGGGTTGCGTTCCTTGCAACATCTTAATCTCTCGTTTACCGGCATAAGGCAGTTGCCAATTGAGTTTAAGTCATTGGTAACTTTGAAGTATTTATATCTGGGTGGTGGATGGGAAGATGATATAATAATCCCGCCGCAAGTTATATCAAGTCTATTGATTCTGCAAAGGTTGGAGTTCGTTTATTGTAGTGTTTTGTTAGAAGGAATTGATGAAGGAAGCAACTTCAAATTGTTTCTAGATGAATTGGAAAGCTTGAATCACCTGCAATATTTAACTTTGACGGTGAAAACTGAAGTGGCACTCCATAATCTTTCAAGTTGGCGAAAATTAGGAAGTTGCATTGCTGGTCTAACTATTAAAGAATGGCAAGGCTCGAGTTCACTGCAATTGTCTTCTCTACAAAAGAACGCAAAGAGACTAGAACGGCTTACAATTGTAAATTGTAGTGATTTAGAGGAGTTGTCAATGAGGCGGGATCATATAATAATAGATGCAGCAAGCAGAAGCTTCCATAACCTTCGAAATGTCGCGATCCATGAGTGCAGGGTTTTGAGGGATCTAACATGTCTAATTTGGGTTCCCAAACTTCAAAATTTGGATATTTTTGGATGTGTTGCAATGGAACAAGTAATAAAAGATGGGGATTGCAGTGCTGATGATATTGGTGGGGAAGGAAGTTCGAATGTATTCAGGGAGCTACAAACATTGAGTCTGTTGAATCTACCAGAGTTAAAGAGCATCTGCAGTCATCCATTGCCCTTCCCCTCTCTCTTTAAAGTTGCAGTGGGTAACTGTCCGAAGCTGAACAAACTTCCATTTGACTCCAATAGTGGCAAAGGAACTCTACAATCAATTACATGTGAGAGAGATTGGTGGGATAAGTTAAAATGGGAGAATGAAGAAACTCAGTCTGTTTTCTCTCCTCTTTTCAAACCATGGTAATTTTGAGGAAGAGTTGTCGTATCTTACAGGTAAATATCTCCATTGTTAATTGCTGCTTATTTTTTTTTTACCCCTTTTCCCCATTGATCTGGTTTGTCTAATAATGTTAACAATAATAATAAAAATAGTATCTTCTGTTACTATATTACTAGACACTTGATATATATATATATATATATATATAATAATTTCTATATACATTTTTATAATTTTAATATTTATATAAAATATACTCCTACTTATTAAATCGTGGTTTCCTAATTCAATTAATCAACATAGTTTCTTTTTAGTTGCATTATATACAATAAACAAGGCTTTTCAACAACACACGTCCACAAGAATTAAACGGCACTTTTTTTTCAATTTCATCTTACACAACTTATCTTTTATTTTATTGACAACCAAATAATAAAGAGAAATTACTCTACCTATATATATAGTCTACACTATCAAAGCCTGAATTTTTTTTATTTGTATTATTACTTATATTTTTTTGTTAAAATTTTGAAAATGCCTCCTCTTATTTTGTAAAAATTTAAAAAAATACCTCCTCTCAATTAATAAAAATATCAAACTTCACGTTGTTGACCCCATTGATTTTTTTGATCCAACCGATAATACTCTCACTCTCTATCACCCGCCATATTCATCATTCTCTCTCACATATTTTGATATTTTTACTTAATTTTTAAAAACACCCACTATATATATTCTTGCTTTTTAAATTTAAAAAAACATAAAGTAAATCGACTTTCTTTTTTCTTCCGATCTCACATCCATAGTAATAAAGAAAATATGAAAAGATTAAAGAATAAATTTTTAAATCATTGTTGGTAGATAATACTGGTTGGATTGAAATTTAGCTTTCCAGCCTAGGGGCATTAGGTTAGGGCATCATTCATTTATTTTTCCTTCAGGTATGGGAACTGCACGCGCAAGGAGACTGTTGCCTTTGGCGGACACATCATTGGAAGGGTTTTGCAGTTTCTTCAAGAAATTCAAAGCTCAGACCGTCAGATATATTTCTATTGTGGTGAAGATGCTTACAGGTGATTGAGAAGAGCTGTATTCGGATTCTATATGTATATATATATATGAGTATATGTTTTGTTTATATTTGATCTTATTAGCCTTTGATTGACATGTTGCATGTGGATTTGGAGAGTGATTTGGTTGAATTTGATAATGTATGAATCTTCATTTAGAACTCGTAGTTATGTCAAATTGTCTGTACGTTAATGAGACCTTCTAAGTTTGCATAATTTATTTATTCTATTTTATTTGGGTATGATTATATTTTTTTAATTAAGTTCCTTTTTCTTTTCTTTTTAAATTCTTTATTCTATTCAATTTTGCTTTTGACGTTATTTTTTGAGGTTTCGATTTAATTTAACTTTATAACGTACATTGTTACCCTCGATTTGGGCTACCATTTCTGAATTTATCACTTTGAGAAAAATTGAACTTGGCATCATGGAAGGTGATATATATTTGTATTCTGATTTTGGCAGTAATCTTCTCTTATTAGATGAAATCTATTTTCTTTTCTTTTCTTTTCTTTCTAACATTTGTGAGAGGATACTTTTATTTTTAATTGTATCAATGGCCAATTTCCTGATATTTAATCAGTTACTAATGACAACTTTATTATCAATATACATAAAAGCTTGTCTAAGTAGTTTTTTAGCTCATGGTAAGAACTCTCTCTATATATAATTTTCGTTGGTATGTAATTAGCTTATTTATTTATTTCTTTTTCATGAATTAATGTCCTGTACTTAAAAAAAATAAAAATTAGAACAATAATAATGGCCTTTGTATTAATGAACAAATGTACTTTGGTGTTGATGGTGATGCCCTCAAAATTTTGGAATGATCTATTTAAATAGTAGATTTTATAATTAGTTGAAAATAAAATTATTAGGATATTTACTTATCAAAAAAATAAATATATTACTTCCTCACTAAAATTTATAGAAAAAAAACTAATTAATAAATCCTCTAAATAGTTGAATTTTAAAATATTAAGAATATTTATTTACCAATTAAAATATGAAAAGGATTCAATATGTGGGAAAAATAATCTTAATTAAGATAATTTTAGGCCTTAGTTTTGTCTCATCGTAAAAAAGAAAAAATCAAAAAGTCGGAATATAACTCATAACCTTCTCTTTTCATCTTGCCATTTTTTTACTAAATCGGAATTTTTCTCCAATTATATATGTCAAAATATATACTTTGTATGTGTGGATCAAGAGATACTTTCTCATTTTAATTAATGTATCTCTTTGGCTCCCTTTCTCAACCTTTGCTTTTATCTATTTCAATGCAACATTTGCGTTGATCCAGTAGTATTTAAGATAAATTTTAATGAAATAAACTCTAATTACCAATTTACCATGCAAAGAAGTTATATTCTCAGTTGGATCATTCTTGTATCGTTGTTTTGCATTTGGCACTTGTTTTTCTTTTTACCAATTTACCATCCAAAGATTGGAAAACTCAATCTATAAACATTTGGTTTTGTTTTGTTTTGCTATTTGTAGACTATTTTATTGCATTTCTTAATTGAAATGATTATTTTTCATAATCTTATTTTCACTTATACATACTCCACTTGATTACCGAGAAGGATGACCCAAAAAAAAAAAAAAAAAAATTAAAGAAAAAAAAAAAAAAAATCACCGAGAAGGCATATGGTCATCAATTCAGTGTTAAATTCTTTATATAATACATAGAATATATTTACGTTTTTTATTCATAAAAAAAGGAAAAAAAAAATTAACACTACATTACATGTAGGTAAAATTTATCTTATATAAATTTTATACGCTTTAAGTTTTTTGATAATTTTGTGAAAAAAAATTTAATTAAGATTATAAATTAACTATTTTACTTTTCCTCTATGCTATTATTAAAAACGTACAAGAGGGTCATGATGTTTCAAATCATTTATAAATAAAATAATAAAATAATTTACCAATTTATATCTATATGGATCAAGGTGTTTCGAATTATTTACAAATAAAATAATAAAACAAGTTATCAATAAAGATTAAAATATCTAAAAACGAGTTACCAATTATTTGAGAGAAAAAAATGAGCGAGGATAGTGAGGACGAAGAAATTTTTTTTTCATACTAAATTCGCTTGCCACAGATTTTGGTGAAAAGAGGCTAGTAAAGAATTTTGCTGTTTTGATAAATGGAAAGAAAGGTAGTGGGTTTGAAATAGGGAGGGAGTGATTTATATAGTAAATGGAAACAAAGGTAGTGGGTTAGAACTCGTAGAGTAACTCCAACTGCTCTCTCTCTCTCTCTCTCTCTCTCTCTCTCTCTATATATATATATATATATATATATATATTTGTGTAAATCTGTGTTATGATAAATTTATAAAAACAAATTTGGATTATTTATTTTTAATTCCAACTATTATTTTATACTTTTTGTGTAAAAATATATCTTCCAATAACAATTAATCACTCAACCCAACATAATTTTAACAAACCTATTTAATATTGGGTTGATTCGTTGATGAAATGAGAAAGAAGAATGAAAAATGAAATATGATGATGCCGCCGTATATAAAGGTTATGTAAAATACACAATAATTTTATATGATAGTGTATCTTAACAAAATGCTTAACATAAAAAAAAAAATAATAATAAAAAAAAAATTATACATCATACGTGTATATTTTACGCAAAAGAGTGTTCTAACAACTACTGAGATGCTCTTAAATTTGAAAGTAAAATGATATTATTAACAACTTTAATAACTCGACAAAAATATGACGTGATTATTCAAAATTTTAACCTGAATAGGCATCATTACTATTCCGGTTTATTTTCATAAAATACTTTCTTTCCGTTTCCTTATCTTTTCCGTTTTCTATAGCCCATTTTCTTATCTTTTTAGTTTTACATAGCCATATCATATTATTATTATTATTTTTTTTCGCAGTAAGATTCATGGTACTCAAATTTAGTAATTTGATTTATACAAAATTTAGAGCAAAAATTGCAATGTTTTATAATTTTTCTATATTTTTGCAATTTTTTTTTTTTTAATTTATCTTATTGTCTTTGTTTTTGGGAGTTAGATAGATCTTTAACTTTGATTATTATAATAATTAAAAAATGCCTATTATATTATTAATGATCAAAAAGACAATTTGCAGTATCTCAATGGTCCTTACATAGATGTAATTTAAAATATAAAATAAATATATAAATACATGGTGGTTAAAACTTTAATCGCCAATAAAAATACTAGATTAAGATAAATTTAGAAAAAATATTACAACTTTTTAAATAGTCAATTACCTTATGTTTTAAAATGAGACTCATTATATTTGATACATGGATAGCCACATAAACTTGAAAGAGTAGTAGGTTAAAGGAAAGAAAATTAGTGAGTTTGAACTTGAACAATCGGTACAAAGTATAGATAAATTATCTTGCCCCTCGATGAACAAGAAAATTTAATCCAAAGGTCACATTTCAAACCCAGTACATTTCTTTCCATTTACTAAAAGTCACACCCTCCCTATTTTAGTTTATATTTAAGATTATCATTGATACCCATTCTAACAAGGCAATTACCAAAGAATAAAAAATAATAATAATAATAAAATAAAATAAAACCTATTTTCCACCCTATTAGTCATCAGAGTTATGGCTAGCGACATAATGATTTGTTCACCATGTAGCGTTTCAAAAAGAATGTTATCTTTGTTTAGTCACACATTTCTAGTACTGAAGATGCAATTAAATTAACAATGTAAAGAGCAATGAGAAAAAAAGAAAAAAAGAAAAAAAAGATGAAGAACTAATTCGAGAATTGTAACGGACAAATTACATCTAATGGGCATCGGATAGTATGGGATCCAAAGCATCGATTGAAAGCGTAGATTCTTTGAGAGATTTATTTATTTTTTTGGGTAAAATACAATGACACTACTGAGATTTGGGGGTAAAGATAGCCATATATAAGTTAGCATATTTTTGAATGATGACACTTTCTTAAGTTTGAAAAAATTAACAAAGACACCAGACAACAGTGAATTGACTTTATTACCCTTGGACACATTAAATTATTAATTTAAGCAATACAACCATTTTTTATTGACTAAAATACCCCTGAATCAAATAATTTTAAATGAGTTATCGGGAACGACCCATCTGAAAAACCCAAATTTTCTCTCTCATCACTCTCTTTTTCTTTTTCCCCTCTCAAACCCTAACCCAAACAAGCCACTACTTTACTAGTTAATCCATGGCCTCCCCCTCAAACCCACCACCAAATCCCTACACAGATGAACACTGTGGACATGAAATAGGCCACGTCACCAAAATTCAAATTAAGCTGACATCACCTTAGTGTCAACCTCAAAAGAATAAAAAAGAAGACAAAAATAACCAACACTTGGTTGATATAAGAGCTCCAGCAAAAACAACAGCCAGTCAATAAACCCATAAAGCATGGGATCTATAAACTGTCGATCGATGAGTCTTGAACCTCGATCCGACCAAAGCCATAATTGTCGATCGATGGGCTTTGAACCTCGATCTGACTAAAGTCACAACTATCGATCGATGGGCCTAGAACCTCAATTCGACCAAAGCCATAATTGTTGATCGATGGGCCTAGACCCTTGAACTGACCAAACCAAAATGTTGATTTATGGGCCTAGAACCTCGACCCAACGAAACCACAACGGTCGATCGATGAGCCTTAAACCCTAACCCAACTAAGCCACAATCGATCAATGAGCCTTGAACCTCGATCCGATCAAGCCATAAACTGTCAGTTGATAGGCCTTGAACCTCGATCCGACCAAGTCACATCCTGTCAAAGAAAACAAACAACGAAGAGTAATGGTAGGACTCTTTGAGGCCAGTTGGAATGTAGAAGGGACTTTGGAATGGAGGATAGAAAACTAGCTAAGTCTTGTTAAGGCAGGACCCAATTTGAGGAAAAAAAGCGAAAGACAGGCTGGAGAAGCATATACACCTTTACATTTACCCTCTATTTTGGGTCATTTAAGTAAACATGCACACCTAGCAACAGAACCAAAAAAAAAAAGGGATTAGAGCATTATGATCCATAAAGGAACTTAGACCCTGACTCACCTTATCCACAGGCCCAACAGATGCAACCTGAATGACCTTGGGTTATAAAAAGGTGGCAAAGGCAAAGGGATAAGGACACAAAGAATTCGGGCTCGTTCAACACTCCAGACTTCGTCTTTTATACCATCGTTTCAGTCCTCAAATTGGACTGGTTTTCTCTCCCTCAATCCACTCTTCTGTATTCCTCATATTATTTTAGTGGTATTTCCCAGATATTTTCATTTTTAGCTTGACTCAAAAAACAAGTACATATATTTGGCGACTTCATTAGGAATATCTTAGTAAGAAGATGAATCCAGACGAGGTACACCTTCCACCAACACAGGCAGATGTATCTGCTGTTGGAGCTACCAGCGCCGGATCTTATTCATCGGCGAAGTCAAGGCATAGACCCGACACAGGTGCTATCTTAGAAGCAATGCAGAACATCAACACTCAGTTGCTGACTCGAATGAAGAGGTTTGAGGAGGCTCTCCATGCTCTTGACAAAAGAATCCCAGCTACACCGGCCGCGGCTGAGCCAGAGCTTGCTCCGATCAACCAAATAGCACCTGCCACTGTTGAGCTTTGGTGCTTCCTAAAATCCCTCCCAATAATTGGAAGTAAATTGAAAATATATGTCTGAATCAATAGTCACAGCAGCACTATGCAATCTCACAATCGCACTCACATACAACCGGCTAAGCGCCTCAACATTATCTGACACACTCATAGGTAAGAAATGAGCCAACTTGGTCAATCTGTCAACTACGACCCACACTGCATCATTACCCCTCACTGACCTCGGAAGCCTCATCACAAAGTCCATGGTGACATGTTCCCACTTCTACTGTGTCACTTTTAAAGGCTAAAGTAAACCCACTGGCCTTTGGTACTCGGCCTTCACTTGCTGACAAGTAAGGCATCTAGCAACGAATTGTGCCATATCTCTCTTCATTCCTTTCCACCAATACTAACACTTCAAATTATTATACATTTTCATGCTGCCAAGATGCACACAAAACGAGAAGTACGGAACTCCCGTAAAATGTCCTCATGACAAGGCGTAAAAATAACCGTTAAGCCTTTAAACCACAAGGCTTTATCCAGATGTAAGGTCCAACCTTCGACTGTCTCACCACCCAAAATCTAAGAACAGATCACTTTTGAGTTCATCATCGTGCTTTTGTGCCTCAATGACCCGACTAACAAGTGTCGATTGGCCTAAAAGACTAAATAATGTAGCAGGCTTGTCGCTATCACTAAAATGAAACCCCATTGCTGCAATGCAATATCTTTCATCATCTTCCATCCCCGAATAACAAGGCAATCTATTTCACCACGGGACTTTCTACCTAAAGCATCTGCCACGACATTTGCCTTCCCAGGATGATATTGCAAGTCAAAATTGTAATCTTCAATAAACTTAACCCATCGCCTTTGTCTCAAATTCAAATCATTTAGCATAAAAAGGTACTTGAGATTCTTGTGATCCGAAAAAGACTTCGAATCTCTCACCATACAAGTAATGCCTCAAATTCTTCAAATCGAAAACAACTGCCGCCAACTCTAAGTCATGAGTGAGGTAGTTATGCTTGTGAGTCTTCAACTGTCTAGACCTGTAAGCAACAACTCTCCCATCTTGCATCAAGACACATCCCAAACCATCGTGGGAAGTGTCACAATAAATGACATAACCCAAGCCACACTCGGGTATGATCAAAATCGGTGCCGTAGTCAATCTTGTCTTCAACTCTTAAAAAGAGGATTCACACGCTTCATTTCATATAAACTTTATACCATTTCAGGTAAGTCTCGTCATAGGTGCGGCTAGGCGAGAAAAATCCTGCACAAACCTTCGATAATATCCTACTAAGCCTAGAAAGCTCTGAATCTCGAACACATTCCTTAGACTCTCCCAATTCAAAACGGCCTCAATCTTGGAAGGATCAATTGAAACTCCTCCTCCGGAAACAACATGCCCCAAGAACTTTACTTCTGCCAACCAAATCTCGCATTTCTCATATTTAGCATACAACCGATACTCCCTCAAAATCTATAGTATTGTCCTTAAGTTCATCTCATGCTCCTCCTTTGACGGTGAATACACAAGTATGTCATCCACAAACACGATGACAAACCTATCAAGATAGGTATGGAAGGCATGATTCATTAAGTCCATAAACGTCGCCGGTGCATTTGTCAAACCAAATGGCATAACTAAGAACTCGTAAAGACTGTATCGTGTACAAAAAGTAATCCTCGAGATATCTTTTTCCTTTACCCTCAACTGGTAGTAACCGGATCTCAAATCGATCTTCGAGAAACAACAATCGCCTTTTAATTGATTGAACAAGGCATCAATCCTAGGCAATAGATACTTGTTCTTGAAGATGGCATGATTTAAATTCCTGTAATCGATGCATAACCTTAAAGAACCATCAATTCTTCTTTGCAAATAAGCTCGGTACTCCCCACGGCGAAGCACTAGGTCGAATATACCCTTTGATCTTCAAGCCATCCAACTATTTCTTTAACTCCTCCTACTTTGTCAGTGCCATACAATACGGTGCCACGGAAATGGGTATCCTACCAGGCATGAGATCAATGACAAACTTCACCTCCCTATGTGGAGGCAACTCTGTCAAGCCCTCCGGAAATACGTTCAGAAAATTGCACACAACTATCGGATACTCAACCCCGTAAAACCCATCGTTATCGGCTAAAAGATTAGCAAAAAAAAAAAAATCCTGTCGATCCCGACCTCTAACACCATAATAACAGAATCGCACTGATCTCCCATAAAATAAAAACAGTCCCCGTTCGGAGTACAAACCGATACCCTACCCTTGAAGTAATCAATAAATGTCCTAAAAGATGACAACGAATCCATCCCAAGAATGACGTCAAAACACGTCATCTCGAGAAGAATAAGATCAAACTCAAGTACTCGTCCCGCGATCATAATGGTACAACCACGAAAAACTCTATCAAGAACAACTGAACCCCCAACTAGTGTATCTACACATAGTGGTTTATCCAACTGACTAACCTCTAATACCAATGCCCGTGCAAATGACAACGAAATTAAATAATACGAAGCACCAGAATCAAATAACACTTTAGCCCAGGAATAGGACACAAGAAACCTACCTTAACAATTGATAGATTGGATGATGGCTAGGCTGGGGTAGTAGCCGGAGTAATTGCATACACCCGACCCTCCCCTGGGTCCACTGACCTGAGAACCACCGGCGTGATAGCCTGACTATTGCGCAGGTGAACTAAATGAAGCTCCCTTAGCTGGTTGAGAGCCCTAAGATGCCATAGCTTGCTGTGGTGGTGGTGGTCGAAACCCTGACTGAACTGTGGCAGATTGTGTCGGCCTCTGTTGTGAACCTCCACCTCTACCAGTACCACTACCACGTCATGGACAATCTCTCTTTATATGGCCTTGCTGGCCACACCCAAAGCATCCTCCCTGAACTGACTAAGTCTATGGACACAGTGCCTTGTAGTGCCCGGGCTACTGACACTTGAAACATGTAATACCCCTAATTTTAAAAGGATAGTCTCGGCATGTTAATTTTTATTTTATTGCATTTTTATTTGTTTAATTGTTAATTTAATTTGTTTAATCGTTTATTTGCATTTATTATTTGATATTTGATTAATTTGAATTATTTAATTATTGTGTGTTATTTTCTTTAATTGTTTAGTTGTATTTTCTATTTGGAATTCTGTTTTAATGAGATTAAATTAGTTGTATTTTATGTTGGTTTTTCTATAATTAAATTAATTGTAATTGGTTAGTAACTTATATACGTGAATGGGTTTTCATTACGGTTTAGTTAATGTTTAAATTAGGTTTCAGTTTTCTTTTAGGATTCACGTGGAGGCCGACTAGAATTTAATTAGGGTTTTCAATCTCTAATTCTAAGTGGACTAGGGTTTAGAGACGTCTGTATATATATATACTATCATATGGGTTATGTCTAGGGTTTTACGACTAAAACCACGAACAGAGGATATTGAGAGGCAGAGAGGGATTTTGAGAGATAGATGGAGAGGTTCAAGGAGGATGGGACGGAGTGCTTTTGGGTTGAACCAAGAGCAACAAAGGAGTGAAGCGGCAAACTGGGAAGTGGTTAGAAATTACAGAGATGGAGGTTTAAGGTTTTGAACGAAAACCTAAAGGCAAGTTTTTATTCTATCTCTTTCCCTTAAACCTGTGTTCTGTGCATGCCTAGGTAGACTCCAGGGATTAAAATAATGCTAAAACGCATTTTTTATGCATGTTTAACAGTATGTAATTTCATTGAATTAATCTGGTTTGAGTTTACTTAAAGTTTTGAACTGAAATCCTGCTGCTGTTGTTTTATAATCTTGTGTTCAATTCATGTCATGGTTGTATAACAATATTTTATGATTAATCTGGGACTAAGATGGAACCCCAAAACACGTAATAAAATTAGTACAAAGACTCCCAGTATTGCCGGAGGCGAGGAAGACAACAGAAAACACAGATGGGTTTCAGAGAGAGAGAGAGCAGATTGAAGTGGAATGTTTGGCATGGCAGGCAGCCTGGGATCTGTTTAAAGATAAGGTGGGAGAAGAGACCCTCAATTCCCACCCCGCGATAGGGAAGCTGGCAGAAGATGTTTGCAAAGAATGCGCCAGATTGCCATTGGTGCTGATTACAATTGGACGAGCCATGGCTGCCAAAACAACTCCCCAAGAATGGAATTATGCATTAAATGTGCTGAAGAATTCTACATTCAAAATTTCAGGTATGGAAAATGAGGTGTTTCGCCGTTTAAAGTTCAGTTATGATAACTTGTGTGATGAAACAACTCGGATTTGCTTCCTATATTGTGCTCTCTATCCAGAAGATTGGGATATTGGTGTTGAGGAACTCATAGAATTTTGGATAGGTGAGGGGTTTTTTGACGATGAATGTGATAACATTGATGAGGCTTGTGAACTGGGATATGAAATTATTGGTAGGTTGAAGCGTGCATGTTTATTGTTGAAGAGCAAAGAAGGTTATTCTGATGTGAACATGCATGACGTGATTCGGGACATGGCATTAAGTATAGTTAATTCGGAAAGTGGAAAGGAGATCAAATATTTTGTGCAAGGAAATCTTAATTTGACCACAGCACCTCCTATTTCTAAATGGGAGAAGGCTGAACGAGTATTTTTGTTGGTGAATTCAATTGAGGAATTAAGTGAAACTCCTACATGTCCCAATCTCTTGACTTTAAATCTTGCTAAGAATTATAATATGAGGACCATATCTGATAGCTTCTTCCAGTTTATGCCCGCTCTCAAAGTTTTAGACCTATCAGGGAATCACTGTTTAACCAAGTTACCGGCAAGTTTTTTTGGGTTGCGTTCCTTGCAACATCTTAATCTCACGGGTACCGGCATAAGGCAGTTGCCAATTGAGTTTAAGTCATTGGTAACTTTGAAGTATTTATATCTGGGTGATCGATGGGAAGATGATGATATAATAATCCGCCGCAAGTTATATCAGGCAGACTGGGATCTGTTTAATGATTGATGGGAAGATGATGATTCTGCAAAGGTTGGAGTTCGGTTCTCGTAGTGTTTTGTTAGAAGGAATTGATGAAGGAAGCAACTTCAAATTGTTTCTAGATGAATTGGAAAGCTTGAATCACCTGCAATATTTAACTTTGATGGTGAAAACTGAAGTGGCACTCCATAATCTTTCAAGTTGGCGAAAATTAGGAAGTTGCATTGCTGGTCTAACTATTAAAGAATGGCAAGGCTCGAGTTCACTGCAATTGTCTTCTCTACAAAAGAACGCAAAGAGACTAGAACGGCTTACAATTGTAAATTGTAGTGATTTAGAGGAGTTGTCAATGAGGCGGGATCATATAATAATAGATGCAGCAAGCAGAAGCTTCCATAACCTTCGAAATGTCGCGATCCATGAGTGCAGGGTTTTGAGGGATCTAACATGTCTAATTTGGGTTCCCAAACTTCAAAATTTGGATATTTTTGGATGTGTTGCAATGGAACAAGTAATAAAAGATGGGGATTGCAGTGCTGATGATATTGGTGGGGAAGGAAGTTCGAATGTATTCAGGGAGCTACAAACATTGAGTCTGTTGAATCTACCAGAGTTAAAGAGCATCTGCAGTCATCCATTGCCCTTCCCCTCTCTCTTTAAAGTTGCAGTGGGTAACTGTCCGAAGCTGAACAAACTTCCATTTGACTCCAATAGTGGCAAAGGAACTCTACAATCAATTACATGTGAGAGAGATTGGTGGGATAAGTTAAAATGGGAGAATGAAGAAACTCAGTCTGTTTTCTCTCCTCTTTTCAAACCATGGTAATTTTGAGGAAGAGTTGTCGTATCTTACAGGTAAATATCTCCTCTTTTTTTTTTACCCCTTTTCCCCATTGATCTGGTTTGTCTAATAATGTTAACAATAATAATAAAAATAGTATCTTCTGTTACTATATTACTAGACACTTGATATATATATATATATATATATATATATATATATATATATATATATATATATAATAATTTCTATATACATTTTTATAATTTTAATATTTATATAAAATATACTCCTACTTATTAAATCGTGGTTTCCTAATTCAATTAATCAACATAGTTTCCTTTTAGTTGCATTATATACAATAAACAAGGCTTTTCAACAAACACGTCCACAAGAATTAAACGGCACTTTTTTTTCAATTTCATCTTACACACTTATCTTTTATTTTATTGACAACCAAATAATAAAGAGAAATTACTCTACCTATATATATAGTCTACACTATCAAAGCCTGAATTTTTTTTATTTGTATTATTACTTATATTTTTTTGTTAAAATTTTGAAAATGCCTCCTCTTATTTTGTAAAAATTTTAAAAATACCTCCTCTCAATTAATAAAAATATCAAACTTCACGTTGTTGACCCCATTGATTTTTTTGATCCAACCGATAATACTCTCACTCTCTATCACCCGCCATATTCATCATTCTCTCTCACATATTTTGATATTTTTACTTAATTTTTAAAAACACCCACTATATATATTCTTGCTTTTTAAATTTAAAAGAAAATAAAGTAAATCGACTTTCTTTTTTCTTCCGATCTCACATCCATAGTAATAAAGAAAATATGAAAAGATTAAAGAATAAATTTTTAAATCATTGTTGGTAGATAATACTGGTTGGATTGAAATTTAGCTTTTCAGCCTAGGGGCATTAGGTTAGGGCATCATTCATTTATTTTTCCTTCAGGTATGGGAACTGCACGCGCAAGGAGACTGTTGCCTTTGGCGGACACATCATTGGAAGGGTTTTGCAGTTTCTTCAAGAAATTCAAAGCTCAGACCGCCAGATATATTTCTATTGTGGTGAAGATGCTTACAGGTGATTGAGAAGAGCTGTATTCGGATTCTATATATATATATATATATATATATGAGTATATATTTTGTTTATATTTGATCTTATTAGCCTTTGATTGACATGTTGCATGTGGATTTGGAGAGTGATTTGGTTGAATTTGATAATGTATGAATCTTCACTTAGAACTCGTAGTTATGTCAAATTGTCTGTACGTTAATGAGACCTTCTAAGTTTGCATAATTTATTTATTCTATTTTATTTGGGTATGATTATATTTATTGCCCTCGATTTGGGCTACCATTTCTGAATTTATCACTTTGAGAAAAATTGAACTTGGCATCATGGAAGGTGATATATATTTGTATTCTGATTTTGGCAGTAATCTTCTCTTATTAGATGAAATCTATTTTCTTTTCTTTTCTTTTCTTTCTAACATTTGTGAGAGGATACTTTTATTTTTAATTGTATCAATGGCCAATTTCCTGATATTTAATCAGTTACTAATGACAACTTTATTATCAATATACATAAAAGCTTGTCTAAGTAGTTTTTTAGCTCATGGTAAGAACTCTCTCTATATATAATTTTCGTTGGTATGTAATTAGCTTATTTATTTATTTCTTTTTCATGAATTAATGTCCTGTACTTAAAAAAAATAAAAATTAGAACAATAATAATGGCCTTTGTATTAATGAACAAATGTACTTTGGTGTTGATGGTGATGCCCTCAAAATTTTGGAATGATCTATTTAAATAGTAGATTTTATAATTAGTTGAAAATAAAATTATTAGGATATTTACTTATCAAAAAAATAAATATATTACTTCCTCACTAAAATTTATAGAAAAAAAACTAATTAATAAATCCTCTAAATAGTTGAATTTTAAAATATTAAGAATATTTATTTACCAATTAAAATATGAAAAGGATTCAATATGTGGGAAAAATAATCTTAATTAAGATAATTTTAGGCCTTAGTTTTGTCTCATCGTAAAAAAGAAAAAATCAAAAAGTCGGAATATAACTCATAACCTTCTCTTTTCATCTTGCCATTTTTTTACTAAATCGGAATTTTTCTCCAATTATATATGTCAAAATATATACTTTGTATGTGTGGATCAAGAGATACTTTCTCATTTTAATTAATGTATCTCTTTGGCTCCCTTTCTCAACCTTTGCTTTTATCTATTTCAATGCAACATTTGCGTTGATCCAGTAGTATTTAAGATAAATTTTAATGAAATAAACTCTAATTACCAATTTACCATGCAAAAAAGTTATATTCTCAGTTGGATCATTCTTGTATCGTTGTTTTGCATTTGGCACTTGTTTTTCTTTTTACCAATTTACCATCCAAAGATTGGAAAACTCAATCTATAAACATTTGGTTTTGTTTTGCTTTGCTATTTGTAGACTATTTTATTGCATTTCTTAATTGAAATGATTATTTTTCATAATCTTATTTTCACTTATACATACTCCACTTGATTACCGAGAAGGATGACCCAAAAAAAAAAAAAAAAATTTAAAGAAAAAAAAAAAAAAATCACCGAGAAGGCATATGGTCATCAATTCAGTGTTAAATTCTTTATATAATACATAGAATATATTTACGTTTTTTATTCATAAAAAAAGGAAAAAAAAAATTAACACTACATTACATGTAGGTAAAATTTATCTTATAAAAATTTTATACGCTTTAAGTTTTTTGATAATTTTGTGAAAAAAAATTTAATTAAGATTATAAATTAACTATTTTACTTTTCCTCTATGCTATTATTAAAAACGTACAAGAGGGTCATGATGTTTCAAATCATTTATAAATAAAATAATAAAATAATTTACCAATTTATATCTATATGGATCAAGGTGTTTCGAATTATTTACAAATAAAATAATAAAATAAGTTATCAATAAAGATTAAAATATCTAAAAAGGAGTTACCAATTATTTGAGAGAAACAAATGAGCAAGGATAGCGAGGACGAAGAATTTTTTTTTTTCATACTAAATTCGCTTGCTACAGATTTTGGTGAAAAGAGGCTAGTAAAGAATTTTGCTGTTTTGATAAATGGAAAGAAAGGTAGTGGGTTTGAAATAGGGAGGGAGTGATTTATATAGTAAATGGAAACAAAGGTAGTGGGTTAGAACTCGTAGAGTAACTCCAACTGCTCTCTCTCTCTCTCTCTCTCTCTCTCTCTCTCTCTCTCTATATATATATATATATATATATATTTGTGTAAATCTGTGTTATGATAAATTTATAAAAACAAATTTGGATTATTTATTTTTAATTCCAACTATTATTTTATACTTTTTGTGTAAAAATATATCTTCCAATAAGAATTAATCACTCAACCCAACATAATTTTAACAAACCTATTTAATATTGGGTTGATTCGTTGATGAAATGAGAAAGAAGAATGAAAAATGAAATATGATGATGCCGCCGTATATAAAGGTTATGTAAAATACACAATAATTTTATATGATAGTGTATCTTAACAAAATGCTTAACATAAAAAAAATAATAATAATAAAAAAAAAATTATACATCATACGTGTATATTTTACGCAAAAGAGTGTTCTAACAACTACTGAGATGCTCTTAAATTTGAAAGTAAAATGATATTATTAACAACTTTAATAACTCGACAAAAATATGACGTGATTATTCAAAATTTTAACCTGAATAGGCATCATTACTATTCCGGTTTATTTTCATAAAATACTTTCTTTCCGTTTCCTTATCTTTTCCGTTTTCTATAGCCCATTTTCTTATCTTTTTAGTTTTACATAGCCATATCATATTATTATTATTATTTTTTTTCGCAGTAAGATTCATGGTACTCAAATTTAGTAATTTGATTTATACAAAATTTAGAGCAAAAATTGCAATGTTTTATAATTTTTCTATATTTTTGCAATTTTTTTTTTTAATTTATCTTATTGTCTTTGTTTTTGGGAGTTAGATAGATCTTTAACTTTGATTATTATAATAATTAAAAAATGCCTATTATATTATTAATGATCAAAAAGACAATTTGCAGTATCTCAATGGTCCTTACAGAGATGTAATTTAAAATATAAAATAAATATATAAATACATGGTGGTTAAAACTTTAATCGCCAATAAAAATACTAGATTAAGATAAATTTAGAAAAAATATTACAACTTTTTAAATAGTCAATTACCTTATGTTTTAAAATGAGACTCATTATATTTGATACATGGATAGCCACATAAACTTGAAAGAGTAGTAGGTTAAAGGAAAGAAAATTAGTGAGTTTGAACTTGAACAATCGGTACAAAGTATAGATAAATTATCTTGCCCCTCGATGAACAAGAAAATTTAATCCAAAGGTCACATTTCAAACCCAGTACATTTCTTTCCATTTACTAAAAGTCACACCCTCCCTATTTTAGTTTATATTTAAGATTATCATTGATACCCATTCTAACAAGGCAATTACCAAAGAATAAAAAATAATAATAATAATAAAATAAAATAAAACCTATTTTCCACCCTATTAGTCATCAGAGTTATGGCTAGCGACATAATGATTTGTTCACCATGTAGCGTTTCAAAAAGAATGTTATCTTTGTTTAGTCACACATTTCTAGTACTGAAGATGCAATTAAATTAACAATGTAAAGAGCAATGAGAAAAAAAGAAAAAAAGAAAAAAAAGATGAAGAACTAATTCGAGAATTGTAACGGACAAATTACATCTAATTGGCATCGGATAGTATGGGATCCAAAGCATCGAAGCGTAGATTCTTTGAGAGATTTATTTATTTATTTGGGTAAAATACAATGACACTACTGAGATTTGGGGGTAAAGATAGCCATATATAAGTTAGCATATTTTTGAATGATGACACTTTCTTAAGTTTGAAAAAATTAACAAAGACACCAGACAACAGTGAATTGACTTTATTACCCTTGGACACATTAAATTATTAATTTAAGCAATACAACCATTTTTTATTGACTAAAATACCCCTGAATCAAATAATTTTAAATGAGTTATCGGGAACGACCCATCTGAAAAACCCAAATTTTCTCTCTCATCACTCTCTTTTTCTTTTTCCCCTCTCAAACCCTAACCCAAACAAGCCACTACTTTACTAGTTAATCCATGGCCTCCCCCTCAAACCCACCACCAAATCCCTACACAGATGAACACTGTGGACATGAAATAGGCCACGTCACCAAAATTCAAATTAAGCTGACATCACCTTAGTGTCAACTTCAAAAGAATAAAAAAGAAAACAAAAATAACCAACACTTGGTTGATATAAGAGCTCCAGCAAAAACAACAGCCAGTCAATAAACCCATAAAGCATGGGATCTACAAACTGTCGATCGATGAGTCTTGAACCTCGATCCGACCAAAGCCATAATTGTCGATCGATGGGCTTTGAACCTCGATCTGACTAAAGTCACAACTGTCGATCGATGGGCCTAGAACCTCAATTCGACCAAAGCCATAATTGTCGATCGATGGGCCTAGACCCTCGATCTGACCAAACCAAAATGTTGATTTATGGGCCTAGAACCTCGACCCAACGAAACCACAACGGTCGATCGATGAGCCTTAAACCCTAACCCAACTAAGCCACAATCGATCAATGCGCCTTGAACCTCGATCCGATCAAGCCATAAACTGTCAGTTGATAGGCTTTGAACCTCGATCCGACCAAGTCACATCCTGTCAAAGAAAACAAACAACGAAGAGTAATGGTAGGACTCTTTGAGGCCAGTTGGAATGTAGAAGGGACTTTGGAATGGAGGATAGAAAACTAGCTAAGTCTTGTTAAGGCAGGACCCAATTTGAGGAAAAAAAGCGAAAGACAGGCTGGAGAAGCATATACACCTTTACATTTACCCTCTATTTTGGGTCATTTAAGTAAACATGCACACCTAGCAACAGAACCAAAAAAAAAAGGGATTAGAGCATTATGATCCATAAAGGAACTTAGACCCTGACTCACCTTATCCACAGGCCCAACAGATGCAACCTGAATGACCTTGGGTTATAAAAAGGTGGCAAAGGCAAAGGGATAAGGACACAAAGAATTCGGGCTCTGTCAACACTCCAGACTTCGTCTTTTATACCATCGTTTCAGTCCTCAAATTGGACTGGTTTTCTCTCCCTCAATCCACTCTTCTGTATTCCTCATATTGTTTTAGTGGTATTTCCCAGATATTTTCATTTTTAGCTTGACTCAAAAAACAAGTACATATATTTGGCGACTTCAT